GCTACTCGGAAGGCTGAGGTGGAAGGATTGCCGGAGCCCAGCAGGTCGAGGCTGCGGTGGCCGGGAGCGGCCACTGCACTCCAGACTGGGTGACCGAGTGAGACTCCAACTCAAAAAAAAAAAACATTCTTTTGGAGTGCTTATTAAAACTTAGCCTATTTGTGGAACAGTTGTTTTTAGCAAGAACAGGGAAGGCAATGTAGCTGTCAACTGTTGTGTGAAAATTTTGTTTACCATATTAACAATATATGGATTCCATCGTAGGAAATTCTGGCCAGCAACCTTGTCAATCCTTGGAGAGAGTAAAAAGGTATGGTGGATTTTAATCCTCAGCAAATATGCTTTTCTGTGGTGGAAAGGATTTGAATAGCAAAAAAATTCCATTTTACTTTTGTAGAATAATACTCAAGCTCATGTTAGCATCAGTTATTCACCAGAGACTGCACCCTGCCATCAATGTTGTGTATTTTTTATTGTTGCTACAAAAGATGGATTTTCTTTTTGACCTTCACTCTTTTTGCAGGTTTTGCCAACCACAAAAGATGCTTGTTTTGCCTCAGCCGTAGAATGTCTGCAGCAGATCAGGTAATCTCCGATTGGTTCAAAACCACACAAATCAAAGTAGGGGTTGGTCCATGAAGATGCTAGTAATAAGATCCTCCCCTTACCTAAGCCCTCAGCCCCTGGAGTCAGAGGCTCTTTTGGGACAATTGTGTTATCTTTCATTCTAAAACGTTGGTGCATTTCCAAACGTAGTGGAGAGCCTTGTCAGACATGTAGCTGTATAATCACATCTTTAGCCACCTGGAAATTAACCCAATGTCTCATTCAGAAAAGTTCATATATCAGGAGATCAGGCTTCACGTGGGTGAGAGGAAGTGGCGTATGATTTGTGAGTTCTCCCATGCACATTGTGGGCGACCAGAGGCAGCCTTTCTTGCAACCCCGTAGGATTCCAAGTCTCCTGTTTGTGCAGCCCCTTCTCCCTGATGTGTCCAGTTTAAGGCATGTGAGCCCTATTGTCAAAAAAGCAATGTCAGCTGGCTCTGTTAAAATAATTATAGGATGTCTTTTTGTCATTGTTTTTGTAATAGCACAACATTTACCCCATCAGACAAACTCAAGGTCATCCAGCAGACTTTTGAGGAGATCTCTCAGAGTGTCCTGGCATCACTCCAGGAAGACTTCCTGTGGTCCATGGATGACTTATTCCCCGTGTTCTTGTATGTGGTGCTACGGGCCAGGTAACCCATCTTTTGTGACTTTGTCATTGGTGAGTTGCTGTACTTCGTGCTTTCTGAGCTAACAGCAGGAGTGTCTTCTTCTGCTAGAAACAAATCCATTTTCGTATCCCCTTCCACATGGTAGCACCTTATTATCGAGCTGTTCTTTCTTCTCCTGTCAAATAGATTTAGAAGGAGGATGAACACGTAAGCAGAAGTAACAGTGTCTTTTTCTCTTGGGGCAGGATTAGGAACTTGGGCTCCGAAGTGCATCTCATCGAGGATCTAATGGACCCCTATCTTCAGCATGGGGAGCAGGGCATCATGTTCACCACCCTGAAGGTGAGCAGAGCTACTGCTGAATCGTTTTTATCTTCAAAGCTGTCCTTCAGCTACGGCATTATAAATGTCACTTACCACTTTCTTTTCTTTTTTAATACAAACCTTAAATGTCTTAGGAGCCCACATTGTTGACGTTTTAAAACATAACATGTTAAAGCTAGAATAAATCAGTTACTCTTCAAAAAACTAAAGCAAATTATTCACTACCCAATCTTCCCTATAAATTGATCAAATTATTACAAATGCTTACAGTTTTATAAATAATTGTGACTCTAAAAAAGAAACAGAAGGATTTTTAGTGTATCCAGCAGTAGAGCTATTTTTAGTGGAACAAAGGTAGAACACAGAAGGCAGTATGCAAAGAATGATTTTGAGTTCCATCTTCTTTCTTTCCCTTGTATTTACTGTAACCGAGAGATTACAAATGAGGTTCTTTGATCTGGGTGGTGCTGAGGGATTATTACAAGTCCTTTCAGTTTCCCACCTTGATTCTTCCTGGAATTTGGAAGAATTGCTTTAAGATTTATTGGAAGAATAACAGGTAGAAAATGGCAAGGACATTTGTGAAGAAAGAGAAAGACTAGACCTTCTCTGCTGTTAGTAAAATGTATAAAATTATAATAATTAAGATAAATAGCATGTTACTATCACAGGAATAGACAAATACCTAAATGAAAGGTATAGCCCCCAGTGAACACTATCATAATACAAATTTTGCACGAAAATGAAAACATCAAACATCAAATGGAAAATAGAGGAATTATTTAATAAATGGTAAAACAAAGTATGGGGAGCTTATTATTAGCAGTTTTGGAGGGAGGGTGGAATTGCAAATTACAGATGGTTTGGGGCTTAAAAATAGAGAAAGGAAGAGAGAAGGAAAAACAGGTGAATGAAAATGAGAAAAAACAACCTAGACACTAGCCTGGTTTAACTTTGTAAACTTTTCAACTAAAATACCATAACTTTTCTATTCAGTAAACTGAGAAATGGGAGAATTTGGGGAAAAAATAATAGCCACAATTGACTTAGATTATTGCTTTTTATGTTATACGAAAAGCTTCTCTAAACATATCTGAAGATACTGAATGAATGAATTTGCATGTAGAAAAAATACTCAGCCTCACTGATAATGGTAGTACTGTAGATTTAAACAAGGTGCTATTTTTTGCCTGTTAAACTAGCCAAAACATTTTAAAGTTATACCCAATGCTAGTGGGGTTATAGTGAAGTCATGATTATTTCCACAATGCTGATAACAGGGTGAGCATATTCACCCTTTTGGAAAGCAATTGTTGTTAACATAGGTATCAACAACATCAAACACTTGTGGAATTTGGCCTGTTCTACCCCTTGAGGATTTATCCCAAGGAATTAAAGAATGGAAAACATATGTCATCTGCATTTGTCATGGTATGGGTAATTCACAAACTTGGATGCTTTCAGAATCATCCAAGGTGCTTCCTGGAAATTCTGACTCACTATGTCTGCAATGTTGCTTAATCTGCGGATTCATTAATCATGTGAGGTAATTCTGATTAGAGTTGTTCCAATGTACTTTTTAATGATCCGCATGCTCTAAATGTCTAATCAGTAGTGGCAAATTATGGTATTACTATTTGGTGAAGATATCATATAGCTTGTAAAAAGATCTTTTTGTTTTAGAATTACAGGGCAAATTGAACAAAATTGTATCTATAATAATTACTACTAGACAAAAAATAGCAACTGGATAGGGAACTAGAAGAGACCGAGGAAAAGTGAAAAGCAGCTAACTGTTGGGCCATCCGCTGAATTTATCAATAAGGGATTTTCTTTCTTGAGTCCCATAGACATTGCTCTGTTTATGCAATTTATTGAAAAGTAAATTTGAAATTGTTTTGAACTTTGTTCCAGGCATGTTACTACCAGATCCAGCGTGAGAAGCTTAACTAGGCTACATAACAGCTTGAAAACTGGATTATCTACCACAGAGTGTCATGGCACCATCTGGAGTCTTCCTGTAGTAGCAAAAAAGAATGGTGTTCAAATTGGAAAGGACTTTGTGCTATTTTGGTTATTTCTGAGCCTTACTAATAAGAGTCCCGAACCCAGGAAAAAAAAAAGACTATATAGTTTAAAGGGAGGATTGAAAAGGGGTAGAATCAGATTAGACCAGTCCTTGGCCTGTGTTAAGTTCCAGAATTATACATCTCACTACTTGGCAAAAGAGGGCATCCCTCCCACAGTAAAGGGTGTGTCAGCCACGTGAAGCTGTAAGAGAAGTTCCCAGGAGAGCTTCTTCCATTAAAGAAGTTGGCAAACCGGGCTCGGTGGCTCAGCCTGTAATCCCGCGCTGGGAGGCTGAGGTGAGTGGATTGCCTGAGCCCGCGGGTTCGAGACCCGCCTGGGCAACTTGGCGAGACTTCATCTCTACAGTAAATCAAAAAATCAGCCGGGCGTGGTAGCGCTCGCCTGTAATTCTGGCTACTCGGAAGGCCGAGGTGGAAGGATCGCCGGAGCCCAGCAGGTCGAGGCTGTGGTGGTCGGGAGTGGCCACTACACTCCAGTCTGGGCGACTGAGTGAGACTCCAACTCAAAAAAAAGAAGTTGGCGAATCCTTTTCAGTTTCTGGTTTGCCTGATCCACCTGAGTCCTCTCAGCCCTCTTTGCAGGATCCAGATTGTACTGGAAACTGTAGTGGCCACCCCATGCCTCCCGAGTCCCTTCCAGTCATGTACGCATCGTGCCGCTTTGCTGAGGGAGGGGAAAGGGGAAATTTACACCGCAGTTTTAGCTTTTCCTAAACTTCTCCATGGTGGGAGAGGTCCTGCTCATCCATCCCCAAACTGTGGAGCGCATCCACACAGAACATAGGACTCATCAGGAGAACATAGGAATTCTGGTCCCAGTCTCCTCACTGTGCTGCAGTCAACACACTGGAATTCAGGGCCTCCTCTGAGCCTCCGTGGAGGCTCACCTGTCTGTGCTCGCATTTCCAGGCCTGGATAGGAGCCCGGGAGTCACAGGCAGGCTGTGCTAAGGCAGGACTGATGCCTGGGAATATGGAAGCCAAGGGCTGTGATGGCCCAGCCTGGCGCCCTGGTTCTTCCGGTACCTCACACTGAACTCTCAGAAGAGAAGGAAAGGGAACGAACGAGTTTGTGCCCCCTCCATCTCAGAAGCACTGTGGCGCCTTGGCATCGAGGGTCTTGCTTTCTGGTTTTTCAGAATGTCTTCTTGTCAGTTGTTGGTTTACCCTGTACAAGTAACACTAGTAGCTGTTTGGATAACACAGGTGCTCCTTCTCTTCCTCATCTCCTGCACTGTAGGGAGCACGGGGTGTCCCGACTTGCGTCAAGTGACTCAGAAGGTGTCAGTTACTTTTGAAAAAGGATCATGGTTTCTGCTCTACTTTATAATCAAGACCAGTGTTTATTAAAATACTGTTTTGGAATGTTGGCTGTAATGTAACAGCAATTTTCATAATAAAAGGCATTCATCTTTGTGAGGTTTTTTGTATGTTTTGTGTTTGTTTGTTTGTTTGTTTGTTTGTTTGTTTTAATGATTGCAGGAGAAATGACCCCAGGCAGCCTTAAAAATGAAAGGAAACCCAGGCTTGGGATTTCTTTTGCCCACATTGTAATCCATACCTCTTTGTATTGGCCTCAGAGGTCCTTCTGGGGTTTTAGAGATCTCTCTCTTTAAAGTAAACATAAACTAATCTTTATAGCACCTTTTCTGGCAAAAAACAAATTAACTTTCTGACCCTTTTTTTTTTTTTTTTTTTGAGTTGGAGTCTCACTCTGTCGCCCAGACTGGAGTGCAGTGGCCGCTCCCGGCCACCGCAGCCTCAACCTGCTGGGCTCCGGCGTTCCTTCCGCCTCAGCCTTCCAAGTAGCCGGAATTACAGGCATGCGCTACCACGCCCGGCTAATTTTTTGATTTATTGTAGAGATGAGGTCTCGCTGCCCAGGCGGGTCTCGAACCCGCGGGCTCAGGCAATCCACTCACCTCAGCCTCCCAAAGGCGCGGGATTACAGGCTGAGCCACCAAGCCCGGCCTTTCTGACCCTTTTAAGCCAAGGACAAGAGTCTTAAATTATTTTTCTCTAAATAAAAGGCATATTTTGATAGTTACTAGTTATTTTGTTTCTCTCCCAAACAAATTCAGGGATGAGTGAGGACTTAAAATTCTGATTAGAAATATTAGGTATTGGCTGGGTGTGGTGGCTCATGCCTGTCATCCCAGCACTTCAGGAGGCCAAGGTAGGAAGATTGCTTGAGGCCAGGAGTTCAGGACCAGCCTGGGAAACATAGTGAGTCCCCGTCTTTACAAGAAAAAAAAAAAATCACACAATTGACCGGGCACAGTGGCATGCACCTGTGGTCCCAGCCACTTGGGTGACTGAGGAGGAAAGGTCATCGGAGGCCAGGAGTTGGAGTCTGCAGTAAGCCATGATTCTGTCACCTAATCTGGGTGACAGAGTTAGATCCTGACTCAAAAAAAAAAAAAAAAATCAGGTATTATTTAATCATCCAGCTGTAATGTTACCTCAAGAGGCCTTTCTGTCTTGCTGCCCTCCACCAGAATGTGCCCACCCATTGTCGGGATGGGACCAGCACTTAAAGATCAGTTACGTTAAATACTTTGTATTTCCATTGGGGCTTGTTTTGACTTTCTGAGCACAGACACGTAACCACATTTGGCTGGTAAAGACAAACCTATTGAACATCTGACAAGAGAGAGGGACAGGGTAATAATTATAAAGGGGCCAACACAAACTTGGTTTACGTGAGACAAATGGACCTACTGAGAAATTCTCCAAGGATGGCGGGCTGTTGCAGTTCTAAGAAAAACATAATTCATCCTTTCACCGGAGCCTTGAATGAAACTTCAGTTACTTTAGATCCTAAGACTGCGTGTTAAAACCACAAACTTTCAAGTCTCAGGAGAAAAAGCTTTCAGTATACAGGCCAGTGCCTGTAAATAGCAATACCTCACGCTCGTGCAGCCATTTGTGAGGCTCTGCCGTGTGTGTGTGTATGTGTGTGTGTGTGTGTGTGTGTGTGTGTGTGTGATGGGAATCACAGCAGCCCTGGACGGAAGTACCATCCCGTGTCTCCCATTATGCAGATGAGGAGTCCCTGAGACTTCCTCACTGCCAGAGGTAGGATTCAGCCCCCGACTTCCCAGCTCTCAATCCCCTGCTCTTTCCTCCCACAGCTGCCAGAGATGTCATTTCAGAGCTGGGTTAGCCCTGAGGGCTCTTAGTAAAAAAAATGACCTGAAAACCAACATTTTACATAAATTAAAGTGCTTTTGATAAAATTGTGTTCAGAAACACAAATGTGACGTTCCCAGCTTGGGTTTACATAAGGAGAGATAACGAGAGCCGTGTCTTCCACTTGGGATAAAAGGGCTGACAAACCCCTAAAACTCCTAGTACCTGCCCTGATGCCTGGCTGTGAACAGCACCCTTTCTCTCCTTCTAAGATACCCGCTTCCAAAGGCTCTTCCCACAGCCCACACCCTGCAAAATAGAGTTTTCAAATGAAGAACTCCAGTCTGAGCTGGAGCATGGGCTAACCGTTTGTTAGGTCCAGAACTGTGGCTTGCTGGAGGCTAAACAGAAGGAACCGTTGTCGATGGGCCTCTGCTACTGACTGAACAGTCTTCCATAGTTTTCTCCCCTTAACATGAGAAAATCAGTTAGGTGGACAGATTATCAATAAGGTGAACAGCTTACTCCAAGCACCTCCACAGTTTTGTTTGTTTTCCATTGAGAATGCTGTCTTCTGTTGTAAGGGATTTGTTATTCTGAAATAGGCAACAAGAGATATTTTCTTCCAGGCTTCTCAGAACAAGTTGCAAACTTCTGCCTTTTCTCTTCCCATTATAGACTTTAGAATTAGCAGTTTGATCCTGATAGGAGCCATGTTGGATAGTCTTAATTCATTTGAAAGCCATGTTGAAAAGTCTTAATTTATTTGAAACATAGTAAATGGTTCCTATTTAATTTTACTTCAACCCAGGATTTTAAGGACCACAATTAACGGAGAGAGATCCAGCGCACAGTTTCTTCCCTCTTTGTCCCAATAGCCATTCCCATTTTATAATGTGTGAATAACAATATTTCTTTTGTACTCATTGATTTCAGTTGCATTTTCAGCCTATATGTGACTTGCGGTCTGTGAACTATGTGTCTGTTATTTGCGAAAAGTGAGCTCTGTATACACACACCTTTTTGGCCTTAACTATTTGCTGGCAATTTGAGAGAGAAAGCACGAGAAAGAAGGCTGCAAATGATGTAAGTTAGATTTTTCAGTGCAAGGCATGCCTAAGAAGATTTGTGGCCTGGGAGGCTTGTGAATAATCTAGTGGTCAGACTGGGTTAGGCACTTGTGGATTAAATCAAAGAGGATGTGCTGAGATTTTATCTGGAGCAGCGAGGTGACTTTGGCAGCCAGCAACCATTGGTGTTTTCTGCGGAAGCTTTTGTCCAGATCAGAGCAACACTGCATGTGCACAGTCTTGCAGGTAAGAGGCCCTGCCAAGGAATTCTCTATTATCAGAGGGTAACCCCTGTACCTGTCCAGCTTGTGTACGGTCGTTCATAGCTCAAGGTATGATTCTGGGTGATCTCATGCCAATGATTTGGTTTTATCATTATTCAAATTACGTGGAGAATTTTATGATTTGAAAAGAGCCGGTGTTGCTTTGAGAAGCTGTTTCTCAAGTGTGGAATAGCGAGGTGTCTCGAAAGCTGAGAAAAACGGAGCGTGTGTCTCATCCTGGTCCCCAGCATGTCTGCCCAGAGGAAGCCAGCCATGTCAGAGTGGGCCGTTTCTTGTCAAGTGATCAAGTGCTTTTTCAGGATTTGCCCCAGCAAAGCATTATTTTGGAAAGCAAGCCTAGTAGGAGTGGGGGTTGTGGTGTTGAATAGTTTTCCGGACATTTTAAAAGCTAATGGAAATACTGATTTTTAAAGTAGTGTTTCAGACAAATTCTCTAGGAGTCAGTAACACGAATGCAGCTTCTAAGTTGGTAAGAGAGACTGGCCATCCTGCCCGTGTTGCTGTGGCTGGGCATTTACTTGCAGTCTCAACCGACAAAGCTGGGACAGAAGTCATGACAAGCAAGGCAAGTGAGGGACATCACAATCTTTGGTCACACACTAGCGTCTTTCAGGACTAAACACACAAAAGAGGAAAACCTGATTTTGCTAGGTGTCAGCTCTGCTGAGTATCTCACTGAATGTCAGAGTCCCATCTGCAGAATGAAGGTGTTGCATTTAATTGTCTCCATGTAGGATCCCCTGCAGCCCCTGATATTAAAGTTTTTGATAGGGAAGGAGGTTAAAGTCAGGATAGACTGAGGAGAA